TTAGGAAATGTGTCCAATTGTAAACAAAACAATTGAGATTAATCATGGCTGCCACACGTTCTGGTTCAATAACACTAGAGCGCCATCTGGATTTCGGTTTCACCTACCAACCCCATTTAAGGCACCTGAGACTATTCACATTAGCATCAGGCAAAGGCAAAAAATGCTTTATTTTTAGGACACACTTTGTAATAAAAGTGACAAATAGTTTCAAGAAGGTTTCAAATGGGTAGGTATTTGGACTTCTTGTTTCCATATTTTATCTAATGTTCATGGCTTCATAGCATTGTTCGATCATTAAGATGGAAATGTGGGGTGACCTCGAAAGTTTTCCTGGATTTTGATGTACTTTTTCCGATTTCTATTGAGCAATCTTGAAAAAATGGTGGCCAAAAACATACATCTTTTTCTATGCATTTACAAGAATATGTTATAATTTTCTACAATTTATGTATAGATAGCTTATTTATAAAATTTATAGATTTGGCGCCAAAGCACCGAAAAGTATATCCCAGTGAGCATTTAGGAGGAAAATACATTTCCATATCGCGTGGAGGTAGAGTAAGCGGCGCGTTTTTTATAGTGTAACCGTTTATAGGCCTGGTGCTCATATGATTGTGATACACACCTTCGAATCGCATATAGGCAATGTCATCTTGAGCACCTAGCCATTATTTTTAATATGCCAATATGTCATAGCCATTATTTTTAAACGAAAATGTTTGTATTGAATCAGTAAAATCGCATCGCAAATAATCCGGGCGAAAATTGCCAGTTTTCAACACTCCCGTCTGAACTACCAAATTACTGAATTATCACTTAGCACGTATGTACAATTGTCAATCTATTGCAGATGGCTCCGGCTCAACGTGCAGTAGAAGGAACGGAGTGGTTTTTAGTCAGTAAGAGTCTGACTCTCCCTCCAGTCATTCGATGATTTTTCCTCATTAAAATAAAAGTCTATGACAGATCTTACTTTTAGTTTTTTTAATGCCATCCGAGTTTCCAATATACAGTGTTGTCTTCATACAGTTAATTTTGACATAGGTATTTCACATCTAAATACCTATTTATATTAAGTAGTATATAGAATGGATTTATATAGAACGGTACAAATACCATAATGATTACATTATATAAATAAAAAAATCAATGTAGGTATTTCTAGATTTATTAATATTAATGCTTATAGACAATACAAGTACCCATAAAAAGCTTCGAAGAAGCCACAGCTGTCAGTAACTGTAACGTTTTTCATAGTACTACAAAATTTAGTTATTTATATTTGTATTGTATGAATGTTAAAAATAATGTTCTTGTTGCCTAGTATTGTGTATAATTTATGTGATTTGAACAAAAGAATCATGTTGATACTTTATTTAATTTTTTTTATTGTTTGTAATTAAAGTTATATAACTAGTATTTAGATTTAATAAAAAACGATTTAATTTACCAATCCATCTGTTTAGTACTAACCTACGTAATAATAGGTAGTTTCTTAAATTTTATTTTAATGTCCTTCTGGTACATTAATTTAAAACTTTAGACAAGTAGGTAATTTTTTCTTTTCTCACAAAATTAAATACCTACTTTCGACGATATTTTAATTTGAAATATCCTGTGACGTCACAGCGTGTTACATTTTATACGTTATAATGAACGACCTCCACTCTTAAACATAGCGCTATTTTATCTAAGTACGTATTGCAACTCAATACGAGAAAATAAAAAAAATACGAGTCTAATATTTTTTCATTATCTAAATGACGGACTAATTATATTTTTCATTTTGATACCCTGGAAACTACACAATTATCAAATCCTAGGTGTAGATAATATTTATTTAACTTTGAAATCGTAATTCACGAAAAACGTTTGAATTCATTTCAAAAATTAATGTTGTCCACCCCTACTTCTTCACCTCCGCATCGGAAAAATAGGTTCATCCTCTTTAAAATATATATATATTTTCAATGTATAGATATATTTTTTATTATAGATATTGGTCCACACTACGATTTTCTCCAGTGTGATGCGTTTACAATATAATTTCATATGAGGTACACCCAAAATCAAAATAATAATTTGAGGGTCACACGAAGATTTGGTTCGTGCGTAAATCGAACCCACTACACGTTGCGCGGTAGCCGGTTGCCTAGCCATAACGCCAATCGTGCAGTGGTATATCTGTATTTACTGCAATACATGTGGGTTTTTCTATGCAATACGTAGGTACCTACGGGAAAACTCAAGATCATAATTTTATGCGAATGGGTGGAAGAACGTTAGCTTTTTTCCAGCTTATCTAAAGGTACATAACATAACAATTTCCCATAGGTCTGAATATTTTTTCAATTCGTGTTCTGTCTGCACCAACAATAAAATAAATCTGATTGGATAATACCCAACGGCATAAGTAGGAGAATTAATATTTATTTTTACTTTTTCCTTACATTTTTTTATAAAACCTTATAAAAAAGAGCTACACCAAGTTAGAATCGAATGTCATAAAGATTTAAGTTTATAATATGCCGAATGTAATATTACCGAAACTAGTTTTTATATAGATGTCTTCACCACTTCATACAAATTAAAAGAATTACCAAAACTTACCTCTATATTATACTAATTTCTATACCAATATTAAAGCGAGAGAGAGCTACTAAATATTCACTACTCAACTAAATAACTAGGATATACTCCAGGGTAGATCACGTCATTAAGAGTTAAAAACGTTATTAAATAGGAAAAGAATGTGCCCAAAAAATATGGAAGAGTAATGTACGCGCGATCTGAGGTCGGCAAAACATGGATGGGAGTTAGAAAAAAAGCAACAAAAGAAATTTTATCGGGATTTGCAGAAAAACTATACCGTGAAATTTATTTCGTTTTCGCCCCGCGGCCAAACAACTTGCCATAAGAAGTAGTTTCGATGTATAGGGTGACTCATTTCAAATACTTGGGTCACTGGGTCACTGACGATTTGTGTGATAACATGGACATTGACAGGGAGCGCAGGGCGCTGTCCGTCCGGTGTAATATGTTGGCTCGTAGGTTTGCACGTTGTACTCTGCCAGTAAAAGTGACTTTGTTCAAGGCTTACTGCCAATCGTTTTACACGTGCAGCCTGTGGGCCAATTACACGCAGCGGGCGTATAGCGCACTGCGTGTACAGTACAACAATGCCTTCAGGGTGCTGCTGGGGTTACCGATGTTTTGTAGCGCTTCAGCTATGTTTGCTGAAGCACGAACTGATGATTTTTTCGCCATAATTAGAAAGCGGAGCGTTTCACTTCTTGATCGCCTGCGTGGTAGCACTAATAGCATGCTGAGGGTATTGTCCGAGCGATGGGATCTGCCCCTTTTAAAGGTATGGATGAAGTTGCATGCTAGTGGAGTCTCACGTTATATTTAATGTTTTGTTATTGTAATTTTGTTTTTAATTTTTAATTTTTCAATTTTATTCCAATTTTATTTTAATTTTACATCAATATTTATTTTAATGTATTTCATTATTGTTTTTATTTTATTTTAGTTTAATTCAATTTCAATTTAACATACATTTTTATTTTTCAATGACATTTATCATTTGTTTTTTAATTGAAATCTGATTGTGGGTATAATAATAGTAATTGTAATATGATCAAATTTGTGTTACTAACACTAGTTGTATAAGTAAATTGTTACTAACCGTTTATGAGCTCTGAGCCTGAAATAAAGATTACTATTCTACTATTCTATTCTATAAAGTGAAAACAAAAAATGAAATAGACATTTTTTTAGTTTAAAATAATTTTTCATGTAAATACGCTGAAAATAGTGAAATACACGCTTTCTAAGTTTGCTATTTATTTCTCTGTACAACTATCTATTGTATTATTAAGACAGAATCATTTTACTTTGGGAGGAAAACGAAGTACTTAGATTTCACGGTAGTATGTCAACCGATTTTTTTTGTTGTTGTTACGATGTTAAACGTTTGTATGGAATGCCGACGAAAAATATCTAAATTCGAATGATTATTATAATTTAATATTTGCTTGATAAAGTATATTAAAATTAGTTTCTAAATCAAGTTTTTGTAACGTAAAATCTATTATAATTTAGATAAAAGTGATATTTCTAGTTTTTTTTACAACACGCACCTGTAGTGTGTATGGCACCATACGTATATGTGCTTTACTTTTACATGTGTGCTAATCTCTTATGTATTTTAATGGAATTTTAATAAATGCATGTTTTATGTTGGATTAGAAATGTATAAAAGGTCACATTGAGATCTGAGAGCCATCAGTTGCTCGCCAAGTAGTCAACAAATTGATTCCAAAAATGAAATCGGTGAGTTACTTTTTATATTATACTTACTTAGAGCAGGCCACTACCTCGTTCTTCCAAAGAAAAACTTAGCTTAGTCAATAGGTCCTAGGTAATATAATATTTGAATACTTATAAGTCAAGTTACCGCCTAAATACTGCCTGAATAATAAGTATTAAGCATAAATGAAGCTTGTAGACTATCATAATATAATTACAAATGTGGGAGAGCTATGCTTCGGCATGAATGGGCCGGCTTGACAGAGTGATACCACGGTCTCCCAGAAAACCGACGTGAAACAACGCTTGCGTTGTGTTTCGTCGTGTGAGTGAGGTTACCGGAGGCCCTATTACCCCCTCCCTAGTCTCCCAAATCCCAGAATCCTTTACAATCCTCAAATTCCCAATTCTGAAAAGGCCGGTAACGCACTTGTAACGCCTTGGTGTTTCGGGTGTCTATGAGCGGCGCCGATTGCTTACCATCAGGTGATCCGTCTGCTCATTTACCGGCTTATGCTATATATATATATAAAAAATACAACATGTACATTAGTCGTTAGGATTATAAGTATGTATATCAGTTTATTTTAACTAATTACCAAAAATATATATAATGTTTATTTGCGTATCGCGCTAAAAAAGCTGAACGAGGACGTAGTATATTGATTGATGAAGACTGTTAGGAGATGGTACATGAACAAAATAATGTGTGTAATCAATATACTCAAACATCCTAAGGCACTTCGACTTTTTTCTTTATTTATTATATTACGGTTTTACTGTTTCAGATCATCTTGGTTGCTGTTGCCTTCCTGGCTATCGCCGCAGCTGCTCCCGTCGAGAAGGAGCCACCAAAGGTCGTGTACTACAACTTTGAAAAAGAACCCGAAGGTTCCTACGTTTTCAAGTATGTATACTTTATTTTAACTAATGGCATATCTGCCAATTACAGGCGACAAAGTATTCAGTTACACCTAGGTTCTTATTAAGAAACACCTATGTAAATAGGGTAGTTTCCTAAATTTTTATTTAAAAGTCCGTCTGGTACATTAATTTAAAACTTTAGACACGTGTTTTTTCTTTTCCCACAAAATTAAATACTTTCGACGATGTATTAAATTATCGTGTGACGTTACAACGTGTCACATTTTGTAGCACGTTATGACGTAACGACCTCCCACTCCTAAACTTAGCGCCATTTTATCTAAGTATTGCAACTTAATACGAGAAAATAAAAAAATACATGTCTAATATTTTTTCATTATCTACCTAACGGACTAATCAGATCTTTAATGTTGATACCCTGGCAACTACTCTATTCTGAATACATAAGTAATTTGGTACAAATAGTATTTTAAACCTAACCCAAACTCTCCTCATCCCTCGAAAGGCATGGTATTTCGAGGTTCCCAACTATATTACAAATTATACAAATTATAGTAATATAATTAGTTAATTAACAACTGATTCGACCGTAACCGCATGAAATCTAAGTTATTTGTTCCTAATAATTTTACTTTTCAAACAGATATGAAACTGATGACGGTACCAAGCGTGAGGAGACCGGTGTTGTGAGGCAAACTTTGGATAAGGACAACAAGTTGCAAAGTGTCATTGTTGTCAGTGGAAGCTACACCTTCGTGAACAACGAAGGCGAGCTTGACACCATCAAATATTTCGCCGACGAGTCCGGTTATCACGCTGACGGAAAGTCTATCCCCAAGCTTCCCTTATAAACCGCCTATACGAACGCACGACTGATTACAAGGAATATTAAATAGCATTTATTTAAACGGATTGCTTGAAAATTTTTTATCATAAGATTTTTTCAAATGAGTTTTATTAAATTAATAAATATAACTTTAGAACTTTAAAATATTCTTATTTATTACCAAGTTTTAAGATGATAAATTATTTTTAATTTTCACAAATCAACACGTGTGATATAGATCACACGTTTTGATTTGTGAAAATTAAAAAGGTGCTTTCACGCTTAGGTATATAGATACCTAAGCATGAAATAGGTAGTGTTGATTGAAAGTTTAGACGAATAAAATGTTAGCTACAGAACGAGTTTTAACATGATGACTGACTACATGCCTTAGATCAAAGAGAGAGAATATGCTCGTTCTTCTCCATAGGAATCTACGCCTTGGAATGAGCAACTAGCTTCACTTATAAATTTTTGTTGTTTGACGTTCAAAAGTGCCATCCTGGTCTAATTGAAATAAATGATTTTGACTTTGACTTTGATTAACCTACGTTCACTGCCGCATCGTAACATGGCTTTTAATAAATGCAGCAATAATTTTAATAAATCAGCAATTTGACCATTCTTAATTGTTTAATAATTTATTTATTTATTATTCATGTACACATAAACACATACAACACATATATAAAAACAAAGTACATAGGTCCCACTTATTCCAACTGGAATTTCTTTCTGTGGAAAAAAAATATGCCACCGAGCTGAGACACAGTGTGTTAAACAAATTACGTAAAATTAACCTAAAAATTAAAATTAAACTATCACTTGTATGATGAAAACATTTAACTATAAGAAATCAATGAATCGAATCATTCATCATAAATACAATACTTACTTATATATTTATTGTTTACTTAAAATATAGTATGTATAAATAAACAAATCTGTATTTTAGGAGGAAAGGTAATGTTCTCTCACTTGTCTCTTAAAGATTTAATTTATGTAAGTACGCATATGTCTTAAAATAGTAGGCATTATTTGTCCGGTATATTATGTCTTTCTAGCGTGTTTTACTTAATTTAATACAATAGGAAATTAGGTAAAATAAAAAGCACATGTTCAAAAGAATTACCCAACATAGAATTGATGGGACCCCAAATATTTTATTTCAGTTTTTGTTACACATTAACTCGTCGAGTACCGGTTTTATAGACACAATTAAAGAACAATAGGTCGCGGTCACTGGTGACCGCTTGGTATTTGACAGTTTAAATAAAAATGTGAATGATTTTGAAAAGGCCATTAGCCTGGGAACGTAAGGGTTCTGAAGGCAAGGACCTCAAAATGTGACACTTTGACTCCACAGTTAGTGCGGTAGCTGGACAAATTTTTGTGTGATCCACAAATTGTTGTTTCGGGTCATATGTATGTGAAATTGTATGTTTGTAAACTCACCTAAGACAGGAGAAAATTCAAGTGTAGGGTGACGTTTAAAAATAAGATAGTCGGTCGTTATTTTGTGAAAATTTAATATAATCATTATATTCTGTATAAGATATAGTAACTTATCGTAATAATACAATTACACAAGTAAATCAAATTCGGTTTAAAACTTTTATGACGACAGAATGATTTGAAGAACTGTTCAAATTAAACATGTTGTCTTGTGAATTATCACTTGGTCTTTCATTTCCCTGGCGAATATTGATGGATGGCAATATTCGCCAGGGGTCAAGTGAATGCGGTTTTCGCGCCATTGCGTGACCTTGACGCGAATTTTGCCGTTGGGTCTAAACTAAATTAGCTTGGCACCATTTGTCTAATTATGTAAGCAAGCTCATTCTTGGAACATTTCTTTTCTTTCGAAAAAGAAAACATTATAAATGTAAATGTATATAAATTGTTACTTCGGGGTCTTTCACTGATCAGTCTCAAGTAATTATATAGACTTACTTTTGTGTATAAATAAATGGTAGGTACAGGGTTTTTTTATAGTAGGTACAAGGTGACTTGACTTGACTCGACATATTCCTCTGGAGAGGTGATAATACAACTAATTTCTAACAAAATTAGTCATGGGGTCCCTAGTCCGAAAGTTGTAGTGGCTAGTTTCTGAGATATTGAACTTTCTTGATTTGGTCAAATATCCCGAACTACAAAACATGTATAAATAAAAACTACTAGTTTTGATTTAAGTTGTTTAAGTTTTATCAGTTGTCAATATGTTTTGACATCAATTAACATTTACTAATACTGGCACTGGCAGAAATGTCATTCGTTTTAAAGTAAATTCTTATCAAATTTTATTTTGAGTCACTAATTAGGTCAATAGAATACAGGCCTTAATTTGAAAACCTAAACAAAGCGGATAAACTATTAGAAAAACTTCCTTAGTTTGTAACAGTAATTCGATAGTGCGCTGAAATTATATTTTTGCATTTTTACTTTTTATTTGATTTTAGTTTTTGGTTTTTGAAGTCGGTTTTGTAATCGCAGTTTATTATTTTATTCTTTTTAATTTATTACAATCCTATGTTTTGAACTACCTACTACTTATAACCTATATAATTGAAAAGTCCTCATTAATACAAATTATTCAAGCCCAAACCCAAGGTAACTACTGTTGACCGCTGAGGAGTTCCCTTAGTTATCGTGTTACTTCAAACCGCTAATGACGATCGCACCCCATCTATGTGTAAAGTTTCATCTACCCAAATAATTCAAACCCAAACACGGGGTCATTACGGTAAATCCTCAAGGGGTTCCCTAGAATGTCTGTTAGTGTCGGCTCCATCATGCGATCGACTGCAGATCTATATCAATTGTACTGATTTAAATATTTAAATAAAAAAATCAACAAACACCCTAGTTGCCCTTACATTTTTTTTCTAAAATGCTCCTTGGTTTCTCTGGGATCTCATCATTAGACCCTGAGCTTCACGGAAACATACTTGCATGATCATATCAAACAAAAAAAAAATATTTCGTAAATCGGTCCACAATTATTAGCGGAGTAATCGATAAACAAATAAACAAAACATATATCCGAACATAACATCTCTTTTTTTTGAAGTCGATATTAATACAGTGAACGGCAAGGCTTTTCTTTGGCAATAAAAATTAACAGAACTGTGTGTATACACTAACGGCATCAGGATGTTTCACTGGAACTCTAGGTTTCATTTCTTTTCTATTATAGTGGTGAGGATACTCTCGTAATGAATGAAAATGAGGCTATGTAATCCTCACGTTACTACAGTCCAAATAATAAATATTAATAACCTAAATCATTGTCTACAAAATGCCGTAACTACATATTTTATTATGACGAAATATATGTATATAAAAAAACATTTTTTTACATATAATTATTATCATAAAGATTACTAAAGGTTAATGTCACGCACGTTTGTGCCTATTTCGAATTCGGATTTACGGCCTTTAGAAGTTAAGTTACGTGACAGAGAGATATATAGAGGGTGTCCGGTAATTAATGGAGTAGTACAACTTATGGCCGTCCTAAAAAAATCTAAAACATAATCATAAGTATATACTACTCTGTCAAGAAAGTACCGGGAAAAGATCAATAATACACAAAATGTCTGTTATTCATCCAAATTGATTTTATCACCATCAACTCGCTCAGTGTACAGTTAAATATGTCGACGACATCAGCCAATTCAGCCAAAATGAATGAATTGTATTGGTTTTTGTTGTTTCGTGATTATAGACACAATAGGGTAGACGACTAATTTTTATTTTAATGTCCGTCTGGTAGATTATTTAAAAACATAGACACGTATTTTTTATTTTCTCACAGAAACGAATAGTTTCGAAGATATATTGATTTGAAATGTCGCGTGACGTCACTTCTCAGTACATTTTATACTAAGAAATGACGTTTTAGCCCCCACTCCTAAACTTTGATTCGTTTTATCTAAGTATTGTTTTATTATACGACATACGTGTCTAATATTTTTTCATTACCTAACTTACGGACTAATTATATTTTTAATTTTCATACCCTGTCATCATCCCCATTAAAGAACAATAGGTGTGCGAACACCGGTGACCTCGCGGTGTTTGACAGTTTAATAAAACAACAAACACTTATACACTAACTGTGATGATAGATAGAAAGTAAATAGTATGACCAGCTAATGCAGTTATTTTTAAAAAACCATACGCAAACTGATTTATTTTTGAAAAATATTCAGGAAATATTTTTTAAGCAAACTTCAAATATGGTTGCAAAGTCCCTCTTGGGTATAAAAAAATGTATGGATACATGAGAGACCAATAATTTTACAATAACATCTGTTTCAGGTATCCTTACTAATATCCTTACTAATATTATAAATCTGAAAGTGAGTTTGTTTGTTTGTTTGTTCCACCTTCACACCGTAACTACTCAACCGATTGCTTTAAATTTTTGCAAACGTAAAGTTAGTAGACCGGATTAAATAATAGGGTACCTTTTAACCCGGAAAAATTGATATTCCCGAGGAAAAACAAAAGTATTGGTATAGATGGCGCTGTGTGTATTGGTATATGTCACATAGGCTACCTTTCATTCTTTTGTGACGCGAGCGAAGCCGCGGGTAAAAGCTAGTATTTTATAATGTTACAACTCATTACTATATATCTATCATAAATAGTGACTTATTGCCATTAACGTAGAAAAGGAGAAAATTTGATTAGATAACAAAATTTGTAATATGGGAACATTTTTTGAATTCAGTTGTATTTTATCATTGAGGAATAATAAAAACATGTTTAATATTCTAAATAATTTATATTAAATAAATTCACAATTAATGTTCCATTTGTTTTCTTCCCACTCTTATGCATGCATGAAGATGCAGATCTTCGGATAAATAGTCTTCTGAGCAGTCTTGTCTACCGTTGGTCGCTTATTTTCGATGCGGCTGCTCTGACACGACTGTGTAATTCGTCCAAAGACCGTATAGGTTCCCACCGTACGTTCACATAGGTACCTCTTGGCTCTTATTACTATTTACAATT